AATAACTTACGTTACTAGCATACATTATACAGTACACACACACACACACACACACACACACACACACACACACACACACACACACACACACACACACACCACTGAGACTGGAACAGACTGCACACACAGCAGGGGACGACACTGAGACATGTTATATCAGATTCAGGAGGACTTTCATGCACCTCCGTCCCCTCTTCCCACTCTCACTGTTCTTCCTGAGTGTGAGTGAGTCTTTACGGCCATGACACCTCCCTCTAAACCCAGAGTAACACTTCAGATATCGGACAGGTGTGTATAGTTTCTGCAGGTGAGTGTTTACCTGCGTCGGGTCCTTTTGGGCGGGGGTTGCACTGCTTGTGTCCCTGACAGCTCCTCATCTCCATCAGGTGAGCGTGAAGAGAGTTCAGGACGTCTCGATCCACCGAGTACACCGTGTTGGTCAGCTGCAACACACACACATTCATCTTCTTAGTACACACACTTTATAGATGTTGTTGTTGTTGTTACTGTTCAATGTGCACATTTTAACGTATTTTGGTTGTGTAAATATTTGTATATTCTATTTTTGTATTATATTTCTTTTATACATTTCTATTTTAAATTCTTGTGTTTTTATACATATTTGAATATTATTAAAACATTTGTATTGCAGTTTTGTCTTTAACTTTGTATACAAATGTGTTAATTATATTTTTATTGCATATTTTTACAAAGAATCCACTCTTATTTATACATTTTCTATTGCACATTTACTCCCTACCTTCTTATGTTATATACATGTCTATATTATATGATTTGTATCTTTATTGCACATTTAAATGTAACTCAACGTAATGTAACATTTATATAAATATTTTTATTTTATCGCACAATTTTACTGACTTTTTAAAGATTTTTGTGCAAATATTTGTGTTTTATTTGATTCTAAGTGGAGCTGCAGTACCCACGTCCCCCTGGAGTCAGTTTGAATGTCATCACGTTGTATCTGTGCGCTCATCAGTCCCTAGAAAGAGCAGGAGGAAATACACGATAGAGAGAGGGATACATATGAGAGTGAGAGAGTTTGACCCTGACCTGGTAGGGGTCGTTGTTGAGGTCAAAGTACTCCAGGAATCCAGTGGAGAACTCGCAGAAGAGCGTGTTGTGCGTCTCGTTGATGGTCCTCAGACACCAGTAGGTGTTGTTGTTGGAGCTGGTGCAGGCGCAGAAGCCCCCCACTGCACACACACACACACACACACACACACACACACACATTAATAACACTAGCATCCAGAAATATCAAACAATATTACAAACGATAGCATGTTCCCTCTCTTAGCTTCAGAGCAGACGGTACATGTATTAACATCGACTCAAATCCACCTTTTTCTTTCATAAAATGGTGTTTATAGTTTATAGTCATTTGTATTTGATTAACCAAGGCTAGAGAAGACACAAATGGCTGTATCAACATAAAATAAATATTAACAATCTTTTCACTTTCATTAAGTTTAGTCCTTTAACCAACTTCAGCCGACGACCTAATAGTCATTTCCAGAATTTTAACTGTCACAAAACCCAATTTCAAACTCTAAGAGGAAGTGAAAATGTGGTGTAAATGGACTTTAATGCTATTTTATTTGTCATCTTTCGCCACACACACACCTTTTAAAACATATTCTTATAGGAGCTGAGGTTCAACGTATTCACGCCATATGCATGAACCCAAAAAGCAGATTGCATGGTGGGTAGTCAGTACACTCACATGTCCACAGGGGGGCGGTGGCCCAGTGGTCGTTGTTGTGAGTGAAGCAGGTGAGTCCTGGGAGGCTGCAGTCGTCTCCTTTCTTTGCTCTCTTCTTCACTTTCCTTTCCTTCTTCTTCCGCCGGATCTCGTTGTAAAGCTGAGACTTTCCGTCGTTTTCCTGCGCCGCTTCCCTGCAGAAACAACGAGACAAGATTACCCATCAGCCCCTGTTTCTGTGGAGGATCAGGATTAGTGTCATGTTGGAGCTCTGTCTTCTGCTTACTGTATGTCATACCTATGTGTGTTTTATCACAATGGAGTTTATGGCCAGGTTTACACAAACAACGATATGTGCTTTAGTTTCTGGTGGGGCAAACATAAACAACATAAGAGAATATGTTGTGAAAGTAGGTCTAAAATATACTATTTAGGGTTAAATAAAATGTATTTAAACCACATTTAAATACACAAAAGAACATGAAAAGCAAAATAACTAAGGACAATGAATGCATGGCTATATGACCAAACTACAGTGTGTTACGTTTGATTGTCTTTATAAGCGTTTCCAGTATTATAAGCCTCTGTGCTGCATGTTTGCACTGACTTGTTATTTTAAATTAAGAGTGTTTTTAGGGTGACCTCTAAATAACTGGAACACTTATAGAAGTCTTTATAATGTGTGCGTTATATAAATAAATACATCTCTGTGTTTCCATGCATCATTTCCAGCCATGCATCTGTCATCTCAGCTGCATGAAAACACACACAGAACACACACACACACACATGCTGCTGCTACACACACACAGAACACACACATGCTGCAGCTACACACACACAGAACACACACATGCTGCAGCTACACACACACACACACACACACACACACACTGCAGCTACACACACAGAACACACACAAACACACATGCTGCTGCTACACACACACAGAACACACACATGCTGCAGCTACACACACACACACACACACACACACACACTGCAGCCACACACACACACACACACACACACACACACACACTGCAGCTACACACACAGAACACACACATGCTGCAGCTACACACACATCT